TGGGTCATGGCTTTTTATTTTTATTTTCATTTTTTATTGTACGGCAGAGCCGGCCGCGTGTTTGTTGTGTCTTCTGCCGTGTTCAGGGAGTTGAATTGTGTCCGCGGGGTGGCGGAGGACCTTCCGCACAAAGAGAAAGAGAGAAGAGTTATCTCGCATTCATACCGTTTTCCCCCCTCTCACGAGTTGCTGCTGCTGCTGCGCTAAACCTCCGGTGCATGTCAACAGCAGCAAGACCGTGTTTTTATTTATTTCTGGCGGAGATGGAAGGAAAACAAGGCGTGGAGGGGGTATCGTGTCACACTACTTCTGAATGGCTTGTGGTCGCAAATTGTGTTGGATGATTTGCCTCCCGTTGACAATTGAAGGCCTCTGCGCTGCAAGAACAGACCTTAACAACTTCCTTTTTTAATTATTATTTTTTATTTAATGCGTCTCAGTACCAGAAGGGAACACACACGGAGGCTTGTGGTTCATAATATACACCACCATCGTTGACGGACAAACTTCTAAAGCCCCTGCAGGATGTGAAGGGGATTTCAACCCGTTAATTTATTAATCTTCCTTTGGGGAAATAAGCGATTGAGGCTTGTGCTGTAGAAGAGTCATATATACATAAACATATGCATCTTTTTTTCTGTCAAGGAAGCCTCATGGAAGGAAACACATGAATGGCCTTTTTGCTCTGCCGGCACGCCGTCTGAAGGCACGAGGGGTTTACCTGCAACGTCGTAGAATTAACGGTGGTGTGGAAGTCACAGTACGGAGGCATGTTCAAGAATGCAGGACCAACAAAGGGCTATGCATGTACGGTACTGGGGGAAAAATACCTTTTGTTGTTTCTCTGTGCTCAACGGTTATGTCCCATTGGGTCAGTGACGTGGTGTGTGGAGTGCGGGTTGGTGGCATAAAGGCCGCGTAGAGAAGAGAGACAAACACGCATCAAAGTCACCCACGCGGCAATTGCAATTGTTGTCAGGCGGGTGTGTTTTGGACGGGGTGGATGGAATGATGTCGCACGCCTCTTTGTGTACGTTTTTTTTTTGTCCCCACCGCCCGGGCCATTGTGAGCGGCGTGCACTGGCCGCCGCAGGCATCAAAGCACGCAGTGTGGCGTCTGAAGGATATGCAAAGAAAGAGGCAGAGGAATTGGCTGTTAATTTGGCAAACGGACACATGTGAACTCCCCTTCTCGAACTCTGAAGCCACATACATGGGGCTTCTGCTCAAAGTTTGTGACACCGACGGCAATGGGAAGAATGTGCGGGGACGCTGCTTGTGTAACTCAGAGGTGACGTCGACTGGAGATGTTTTTATGATGGACAAAACTTTGGCGTCTCCTCAGGGGTTTATGTCAGCATACCTGCCTTAATACGTTGCCTTTTTTTTTTCTTGAAATCAACGCGCCAAGACTGTGGATGTCAGTTACAACAACGTTTCAACGTCCATGTAGGCCAATAAAAAAGAAGAAACAGAAGCAAAGAACTGCACAGTTGCATTGTAGACTTGCGGTTAGGGTGGCTGAGCATGAGATACACAATGGGTATCACCATGAAGGCCTTTTGCCTCCCGAGTAGTGCAAAGGATACGATTTTTTGCCTTCAGCATAACGGTTGCAGAAACGTTTTATTTTGTAAAGGATGGAACGCCACTTCACCACGCAAAGCACAGACCTTATATGTCCCTTCAATGATGTCTGCAAATACCAATCATACGTGTGGGGATGGGTGGCTTGCAACTGCCGCTGCGGATGTTTGTATTTATTCATGTAGCGCATTCGGCGATATCCAATAAGTCGTGACGACCGCTGGGCTTCTCAAGTGACTTCACACCTGCATATATATATATATAGGTGGATGTGAATTTATTTTATTTTATTTATTTATTTATTTTTATGCTTGATCTTCTCTTTCATCTTTTTTTCTTTGTTTCTCTTTTGGACTGAAAATGAAACGCAAACACACACATACACACACAAAAGAAGGGGGGTTGCACGCATGTCGATTGATGCCTCACTATTTTTTTCGCGAGAGGAACCTGCACCTTGGCCTCAGCTGAGCGGGCATGGCTGCTTTATTCGGGGGGCGCGACACAGCGGAAAGACGTCTTTTGCCTTTCAAGCAGCTGTGAACACCGCGCAAGACGGAGGTCGGGTGGTGGTACTGTGCCGGGAGCACGTTCTCTATGTGAAAATGCCACAGCCATTCACTCCACTGGGTAGCCTTGACGAGGACGCGCTTCTTCGCATTGAGTTTATGTACGTTGATAGTTTCTCCGATGCTTTCCGCGAGGTTGGCGCATGGAGTACACCGGATGATGTTCCTGCACTGCTGCTTCTTGACGACGACAGCTTTACCGACGCGGGGACACTCGTCGGACGGCACAGGCGCTTTCGGCCCTGGAGAATGTGCATGCGTGGATAACACGTTGTGGTCGATGCTTCCATTATGTCTTTGTTTCCAACAGTTTTCCAGAAATTTGGCAGGGGGCTGAGCTTCCCTTTGCCGCCTTCCCGCTCGTCTGCTTTCTCTTTGGATCGACCGGCTCTGTCTCGGTGCAGACGACAATGGGAGACATGTCGGAGCCCAAACCTCTGCGGTTGTCGTGGCATAACGGGCTTTGTATGGAGAAGTGAAGTTTTGGGGATGCTGCAATCGTGGGCATTTATTTTATTTTTATTTTTATTTTTATTTTTTCTCTCTGCCAGAGTTAATCCGACGCACCGGGTGTGCTCGCTGGGCCATGAAGGAGCGAGAAGGACATGCCGCGCGGGTTGTGGAGTTCCCGCTGCTGCCGTTTTCCGTTTTTTCCCATTTTGTGTTTCTTTTGCCTTGAAAACCGGCGGTGGTGGTTGTGCCGCATTCAGAGGGGAGTTTGTTGTTGAAGGACGATGTGCCATTTATTGAGTTTTACCGTGACTTCATTTGTGTCACTGCGCATGTGTGTGTCTGTTGGGCTCCTTTTTTCTTTTTTTTTTTCCCCCTGTTGATCCGCACGCCTTTTTCTGTTCGGGCCCTTTTTTATTGCTGCCTTTCTTTTTGTGCTCGCGAGCATTCTGTAGAGAAAACCAGGGCAAGTGTCATGGGGCTCGGCTTCTTCTGCGGCTCTGGAAAAATCCGGCATAAGTATACCAGCGAAGAAGCCGAGGGTGAATTGGACTTGAAACAGGGACGGCGGCGTGCATGGCGGAAGAGTGAATTTAAATTTGGAGGTCCGAGTCAAAGCGGCGATGCATTTCCTTTGCTACAAAAAGGCGACTGCTTCTACGTGGAGAATGGCAAGCGTTGGCTTATTTACAATGACACGTTGGACCGGGAGATGCACGTCACGATGCATTTTGACGCGGATGCTTATGTTTTTGCATGCGAGCGCACTCAACTTTCACGAGAGCCGAGCGGATGGGTAGCTAAAATTGTTGCCTACCCTCTCGAGACGGTGCCGTTTGTTTTTTTTGACTCACGTCATGTGATCTACAGTGAAATGGAGACAGTGCCACAGCCACTGACGGAAGCGTACCTGCAGAAAGTCAATACCGCGGCAGTGGCGAGGCTGCAGCAAGAAAAAGAGGAGCTGATGGGGATTGCCTCACGCTGCTGTGCGGAGGAGGAGATTCTGCGCATCTGTCGC